TGTAATAATGTATAAATTAAAGTGTATTCAAGTTTTTTTCAACTATGAAAGTAATTTAAAATTACGTGGATATTTATATAAGCATGCTAAWACATAAATTTTGTAGCTGTATCAGCATAAAAGATAGAGAACACCAATTAATTACTATGTATAAGTATTTTCATTATTACACTATTATATAAATAAAAAAACATAAAAACAATTGGGTTCAATATGATAAGTAGAAATTGGTTAGATTTTATGACAAAATTTGTATGGCTTTTGAGTAATCTTGCTCAGTTATGAKCAAAATCTAATTATAGATATACTATGCCACTAAAATCACTTTAATTATCTACTTAGGCATAAACTAAGTAAATTAAAAATATATTTGAGCACACGTAATTATTCAAATGAAAAGGTAAATTATTGTAATGCTATAAAATAGCATATATAATGTAATATTAAATTAAAATACAGTATCCATTCACTAGGAAATAATTTTCAAGTGATTTGTTTGTATTATTGTTAAACAACTATATTTTTTTTTTTTTGTAAACAAAGAAAAGTTATGTATTAATTGAAAGAATATATATTGAGAATTCTAGTTGAAGGTTATTATTTGTAATTTTGATCATCAATTATTTTTAGTTTATAAAATTAACTCTTTWAACTAAATATAAAACAAATTATACACTAATCATACTTCTAAYAACTGAATATAAATACATACAATTCAGTATTTTAGCAAAGGTTTTTAAAGAATTACAGAAGTCACTTCAAATCAAATAATAATAACAATGGTTTATAAAATTATATTTACATGTGTATGGTAACAAAATGGATTATTGATATAGTTAATTTTAAGGACATAATTTATTGAAACCACATATTGTATTTAAATTATAATAGTTGTATTTTTAACGTCTTACTAATTTTAAATATAATATTACCAATTACTTTATTTAATGTTTTGGATTGTTACAAAAAGSAAAAAGAAGACAGTGGTGCCAAAACCCATTCATTGGATATTTTAATTTATCTCTTAAGTTTTAAACTTATTCTTAAGGAAAAAATGTTATTTTTTGGATTAGTTGTGCTGAGTGGGTAGATTTTTGATATTTTGTTTTATATTTATTTTTTCACTTTTACGTCACTTTATATGGGTTACAATTATTTAGGCAATTGAATAATTATGATTTTGGTCTAAAATCTAAACATAAATTATGTAATTGTAAATGTTCACTTTTAAATGATAAAATGAAAATATAGGCAAACAGTTTTAAAACYGTTAAATTAAAAGTATAAAATAGCGGATAAAATTACATATTTTAAAGTAAAAAATAAACAGTTACAGCATTATAATTTAAGGACAATAATTAATATTAAGAAGAAGTTGACTTCTATGTTATATTCTAATAAATATAAAATAATATGTCACTTGGATTGAGATAAATGGTTGCGCTTTATCACAGATGACGGAACGGTCAGTTGATAATTTTTAAGTAATGACTAGTGGCTCGTCATCTGAAAAGCCTTGAACTRCTGGCTCATCATCTGAAAAATGAATAATGTGTTCAATAGTACAATAAATTCAAGCAATCAAATGATTGTATATATTGAACAATATATTTTTATTATTCAATTTTATACCTTTAAATACTCCTAAACCTATGAAAGCATGAACAAATCATTGAATTCAATTAAAAATATATTTACATTATTGAAATGGCTGAAAAGTATGAAAATAAGAATAAAAAATAAATACTAACCAAGACTATCAACTCCAGTAAAAGTAGCTGATCCTGACCGTGTATCATATCGACTATTGGCAAATTGCACAAAGCTATTTTGTAGGTTTCGATGTCTAACAACAAAATATGTTAGGCCTGCAGATAACCCTATAACTAATAATACCAAAATCATAGACATCCACCCGGTGTTTACACCAACAACGACCACTTCTGAAGATAGACTATCAACTGTAATAATAACAATAATAATCATAATGTAATAAAATTATTATTCATACAAGTAAATTTTGTTTTGAATATCATACTGACCATTTTGAGGTATAAATGAGAACACTTCGGACATTTTAGATACATAACCCTCGTTTGTTGCCAGTTGAACAGCAACTGACAATTGGTTACTTGTTGGTGGATCAATAATAATAAATGGACTATCTTCAGCTTGATAAGTCTTGGCAGTTGTGACATTCAATTCACTGCCCTCAGACATATGCACCAAATAATGTACAACCCTAAAAGATTGWGTAAATTATTAATGTTAATTTATGATTATAATAATGTTAATTTATGTACTCACGTTGACTTAAGTAGAAACGATATATTAGGTTTRTGCCAATAAATTTCATAATGACCATCTGGCATGCTGAATACTTTAACCTGGTGTGGAGAAGGCAACTCTGGAGCTCGATAATTAATTAATGATGATGGGACGGCATTTGGTGTCATGGTTGATATACGAATAAAGTAATTTCCTCCGTAGTTAACAGAAAAATGCAGTGTAGCATCAGTGTCAGATACATTTGGAACTAGGACTTCAAAGTTTTTATTTTTGTTGGATTCCAAAATATTTACCTTAAAGAAAACAGTAAGACAGTTGTATAGTATAATCAAAATCAACTTTGTTATAAAAAATAATTGAAAAAGTTCTTACTTTGTATGACTGTTGAACTGGGTGACAGGATGCTTTCCAGCTTATAAGAATCATTGGTTGGCTTGTGTGTTCAAGCTGTTCAATTTTTATGTCTTTAGGTGGTACAGTTGGATCAAATGGAGTTATAATAGTGAACGGCCTCTTAGATAGTGGTCCAATACCATTRGGGCCAATGACACCAACATCAATCATAAGTGATGTGCATGATTCAATGTTAATGAGAATGGCTATGGTTGCTGAAGTATTATACTTTGGACCTAAACATTTTTTTCATATATATTAATATTTAAATATATGATATTATAGGGCTATTTATCATATTTAGCATATTTAAGCTATTTAGCGATTAGCATACCATTAAGAAGGTCATTAGCATTGGTACCCCAATAAACTCCATAGAGCCACTTGGTCTTTCCATACTGTTTAGGTGCATTCCATTGTACTCTAATTGTTGACTCTTTCTTATCTTTTATATTAACTAAAGAGCCAGTTATATTTGTCACAGCTGGTAATGGTTGACCTAAATAAATAATTAAGTTAAAAATATTTGTTTAAATACAATTAATAAGTAGATTTTATWATTAAGTATTCTTACCATCAGTCTTTGTTACAATTGTATATTTCATACCAATGTATCGCTTATTGTATGGTACTACATTTATTGTATATGTTACACCAGGTGACAGTTTCGTAACTGAAAATAAATTTTATAATTTAAAATAATAATATTTTTTAATAAAATTAAATGGTACTAACTTGTAAACTTTAATACGTTATTATTATTTGATATGTTAAATGATTGAATAGAATTGGGATATGGCCCTTCTTTAATCGGAGCTGAAGAAACAATAGTAAAACCATCTGCATGTTCAACACTTTCCCAAGATATAGTGATGCTATTTTCAGTTCTTGTAGTAACATTTAATTTTAAATTGACATCTACTAAAGAATCTTCATCGAAATGGAACCTTTTTACAGCAGAATGTTCAGATTCAAACTCTGATAACTTGGCTGTAACCTAAACACAATATTCAAGTTAATATTAAACAGAACATCGCCCCCACAAGTATATATGTCATATCTGTCTAACAGATGTAGAACAACACATTTTCATTCAACAAAACCAATTTTCTATTGAAAGCTTTAATATAAATGAATTGAATTATTATCAAACTTAATTTTAAAAACTTAGAACTTTATTTAATTTATACTTTGATTTTTTAMAATATTTTGTACCCTTAATTCACTTATAAATTTAAATACCATAAACTACTAATGAACAAATACAGTAAATGTTCTTATCTTAAGGATAGGTTAGCTTAAATTTTTAATAACGAACAAGTCAATAAAATGTAATGCTAAGAGGACACTATTTAGACAAATTAAACCATGTAATAGTCAACATAATGAGCTATACAAATATTTTAGAAAACATTTTTAGGATCGAAATAATACATTCAAGAGTGGAATATTAAAAGAAACAACAGCAATCACATTTTATACATAAAAAAAACTTTTTTTAAAAGTGCAGTAATTGTTCAAAGCAATATCTTAATGGATTTAATATATACAGGGTGATTTTTTAAGCATGCTCDCCCYRTTTTTATKCTTAAATTATGCATATATTCAAATTTTGATTTTTGGAATATTTAAGTGTAGTTAAAGGCGATATTTTTGAGTACTTAGATTTTTCACAACTTTTAAGGAGTATCCTGTAG